CTGGATCCTGCTGGATTCGCGAAAGTGAGAGAAGAATTTCGGATTACAGGGCTCCGGGAAAACGAATAAATAAAAAACTGAGCTAATAGAACCAAAACGTAAATTAGATTAGTAGATTACTTTGCAGAAGTGCAGGAGTTATGAAGCGGTAATAACAGCCCACATCAAGTGGTTCCATACAGAGAGCATAGAAAGAACGTGCAGTGATAAGATGACCTAATCATCAGAAATCGCGGGCACTTGTGTGTTGGGTGGAATGTAAGGGATTAAGAAAATAAAAAGTGCTGAAACTGTGATCCAATCAGTCGCCGAGAGTGTTCTGAGAGGCTGCATATTTCCGTTATTTTTCTCCAAAATTAAACGCACCAAATACTGAAGCTTTCAATTCGGGAGTTGTGAATATGATCCAACCCACAGGGACTTTTAATAATAATTTTGAAATACCTGGATACTTCCCTACTAACTGTTCTGACTTTAATTTAGTTCCCGACTCGTGCGAGATCCCGACCGACACGCCCGAATGGTCAATCCACGGCCTATGGCCCAACTTCAGAAACGGATCCTATCCACAGTTCTGTGACGGTTCGCCTCGGAAATTTGACAGCAAACTGATCGAATCGATTGAACAAACTCTTCTGTAAGTAGCTAACTACTAAACTTAATCAATTCTAATGGGCTTTCTTTCACAAATAGTTGATGGAATTACACGAGAACAATTTTGTTTAGCAAAATGTGGCCGAATCTGTATCCAGCGAAAACCGCCCACTCATTTTGGAAGCATGAGTGGGAAAAGCACGGAACGTGCGCCCAGAATCACCATAACCTGTCGTCTGAGCTGCTTTACTTTAACACGTGAGGTTTGCTGTTATTGTGTGTGGAACCTTTTTTTCGTTGACTTAAAGGCACAGGTCGGGGATAGGCAATCAAAGGAACCCGCTCTGTCGATACTATGACTGGGTCTGCAACCATAGAGGTGATGCCGCGCTCGTGACTCGAAACCGCGCGGCACAACCCTGGCCTAGCATTTAGGACGACGTGAGCTATGACCGCCCACCGCCGGAAGTGGTGCGTGGCTGGCATAAGGCGTGAAATCAGCTGGGTTGATTGCCGTATCAGCTGCTTTCACGGAGCCAGCAATGGTTGGCATGTCCGAAAATTCGTTCGGACATGCACTTCCTGCCAGCTTCTCCGTCGCTTTAGGGAAGAGAAGTAAAAATTTCGGTCTTGTCGACGGCTTCTTCCCTTTTTTGCTTCACTGGCATGTCATTTCGCTCTGTACTGACTTTCAAGCGTAGAAATACCCTCGATCCCGGCAATCTACCGGCACAACCCATACATAGGTCATGTAGACGATTTCTTTCAGTCTGTAGGATAGAGCGCTAGATAACCATCACACATGTGGTACTAGCGTGCATGGGAATGGCCCGTCAAAGGCACTAAGGTCTTGCAAGTAAGCTGTAGCAGATCCAATGTTCAGATGTTCGCCACTCGCAGCAGGCTGTTATCTGGCGTCCTCTCATCTCTTGCGCTATTTCCCCTCACGCTCTCCTCTCCGCCCTCAGTCTCTCATTATTTTACCACAGCTGAAAGTGTGCAAGCCCTTAAAGGAATCCTCCACGGAAAGAGTGATCATTTTGTAGGATTAGTATTATCGAAACTGACACCTATGTTTCGT